ACTTCACTGATCAAGGATGCGACCAGACAATCTCACAAATGAATGAAACTTCAACTTTCAGTTCAGAACTTTCAAAAGGGAAACGCTGCCCTTACAAAAGATGATAGGCTTCTAAGCCGCTAACCTGCAACTGCTTTCCTATGTTGGCATCCAAGGCTGCATCAATCTCATCGAAGAGGTAGAACGGTGCCGGATCACACTTTTGGATAGCGAAAATCAGCGCCAATGCTACCAGAGACTTCTGTCCGCCTGATAGTTGCACCATTTCACGCGTTTCCGAACTTCCATCAAACGATACCTGAATTGAGCCGTGTAAGCTGAAATTTGCAAAGTAATTCCACCCTCATTTTCATGCAAATCCACCACAATCAAGACCCTCATACCTTGATTCCTACGCCAACAAAATTCTCCACTATGTGACGAGGTTGACTGTCTCCATGCTGTGAGGCATCAATACTGTCCTAGAATAATAATGTAAGTTATAAAACTGTAGCAATCGCAATCGAGTAGAAAAAAGTTACGACTGACATCTTTGCTTGTTTGAATGACCAACGATCCAGAGCCATTTGGTACCAGCTTTTGGAAAACTTCGACAAAGTTCTTCGACACCTAAAGATGAGAGTTCAGAAACATCCGGAAAGTGAGAAAAGCGAGACTCTGATGACGTCTCTGGAAAGAAAAAACATCGTACCTGTTTGAAAGTTAATTGTATTGCTTCAAACTTTCTTGTATCCAGCACTTGCAACAAGTCCTCGATCGCCTGATAAGAAAATAGATTAATCGAATCATTCACATGTCCCTTGTTTACCAGCTTACCTTTTGACTCTTGTGCTGCTCTTCCATTCGCTTTGTGAGCTCTTCTTTTTGAGAAGCGGCTTGCACAAATTGGTCCAGAGCCTCAAATAAAGGTCACGATAATTTATGATGAATTGAAGAGGTGCACTTCTACAAAATACAAAAGAATACGTGATTTAGGAGACGGGCACATTCAAGAGATTAGTGAGGTATGGATGAAAAAGTCTCAGGTGCGCTACTCACACTCATTTCATGTCAGGTTGATGAAAACGTTTACATTAGTCAATACTGACATTCACAAAAATATTCATTTGTTGATCTTTCACAGCGGATTTGAGGCCATCCGCAGCATTTTATATGGCCATCAGTTCACAGGTAGGAGTGTCTCGAACTGAACCACGAGAACCGGTGAACTACACAGCAAGGTTTGCATCTCAGCAACCGTGCGCTAGAAGAAACACTAACCCCACCAGAAAGAAGGAAATTTAGAACAAAATCATGATGTCGGAGAAATTTATGGAACATTACTAAGGGAAAGAAACCAGAAGATGCAAGGAAACATTGTGATGATGGAACGATTCCCGTACAAGAAAAAAATTACTGATTTCGCTCACCTTTTTGTTAACGTTTTCGTATTTCTTCAGTTCGTGCATACACTCAGCTAATTTCTTATCCAACTGCTTTGTGCTCATTCCCTGATACTTTGAGAACGCATCCGTCGGTAACGATCCGAGTTCACGAATCTGCAACACCAACATAAAACCAGGTCGGGGATCTTTTTCCTCGTTCTCTTTCCGTTTTCTTTCCCTGATGACCAGCAGCTCGCATGATCACCACAGTAGAAACTGTGCTTTCACTAAATTGGGCACTCAAATGGGAGCGCTCAAATACGGTGGGGCTGTTTTCAGCATAGTCAGTC